CGCCCGGATGCGAACGTGACGCCGCGACGAGATGTCGGCGGCCCGAAATAACCGTGGAAGAATTCCCCCCGGTCCCCGCCGCCGCGACCGTGCACACGTCGATGCGTTCCCGCGCGATAATTAGCCGGCGACTAACTAAAAAAGGGAGGGACGCGGAAAGCGGCGAAGGGAAACGAAAACACGGAGATGCGGCGGAGAAGAATTTCATTCGCCGCGGCACGATGAGGCGGCTCGTTTTCCCTTTCTACGGGATTGCGTTTCAGAGATTAGCAGAGTTCCATTGCCGGTCACGGGGAAAAGTTCGCGGAACAAAAATTGAGGCACTTTCGTTCGCCTCCGCGGGAATTCGGGGCCGGCGGGAGTCCAAAGTGAAAGAGAGACGGTCGGGAAAAGGGAAGGTTTTAACGGTGAAGTTCACCGGCGGCGGAATTGTTTCCTTGTTTCCCTGTTTGCCCGCGAGACGCGGGACGAGCGCGGGAAAATTTATTCCGATTGAGGAATTAGCATTTCATTCTCGGCCCCCGAAATAGCATTATCGCCGATCTGCAATCGCGAAAGTTTCCCGCGGAACGTGAAATCGCGATCAACCTTTCCTCGGATTCGGTTATCCTTCCGCCGGGAGTTCCCTCCCGTTCGCATTCGAATCGCCTCGCGTCGCGATTTCGAGGAATACTAAAATTAAACCGAATCTCGCCGACTTGTTTGTGCATTGTCCGACGGATGAATGGACGATTTTCCTCGGCCGCGCCGATAACTTTAATTGCACCCCGCCTATCGGCATGACGTATAGTCCCGGTAATCTCGGTTCATTGCTCAAAGTAGCTTCCGCGGCTGTGATGTCGGCCACGCTATCGGAGAGATCCGCGGTATAACTCTATTTTCCATTAGAAAGGTTCAACAAGGCGTCCCTGTTGGTGTTGAGACAAGAAACGATCTCGGGGGCGGATTCGATGCGCCATAGAACAGTTCTCCTTTTCACGGCAACGCGAGTATTTCCTTAATAAGTATGGCGATTCTTCGTAAATTAATTCGAGCGTATAATCATTCCCATCTTACGGTTTCAGAGCAGTCGTTACGTTTAATTTCTGAGGGCATCGTGACCCGGTTTCTGCTTTCCTATCTGTCTCCCTCCCCCCCTCCCCTGCTCCGTCCCTCTATCTCTCTTTCTCGCCCTCGACGCTCGTTATTACACCAGAGAAGAACGGTTGATCCACTCGACAGTTGGAGCAGCCGCAGCTGCAACGACGTAGCTGCACCGTATCTCTGTTCCACCTTGGCTGCAACTGCTGCTGTAGCTCACCGCCCTCGTTCATGAGAATTGTATATTTCCTTGGAGCACCTGACGCCACCGATCGCCTTCAAATTTGCACATTCGTTCATCTT